CCCTTTCACATCAATGTTTTTTTTTCTCTCTCTCTCCCTCCCACTCTATCTAAACAAAAAATGGAAAAATGTCCTTGGGTGAGGATAAAAAAAGAAAAAAGAAAAACAAGGATCTGAATCCAAGTAAAATATTTTTTAAAATGTTAGATCAAGGCAATAATTCCTTATTCTTAATAGCTCTCTCTGTGACAGGCAGTCTGAAGATCTGAGATGGGGCACATCCTTGATGGTTACCCCAGCAGGGAATGCATTTATGTCCTAACCCAGTGCACAGCCATAAAACGTGAACTGCAACCTTAGAAAACTGCTCAGCTTTACTTTGCACAATGCACTCTGCCTCTTTCTCATCTGCTTCTGTCTTTTTCTATCGTTGCTCTTTCTTTTTATTCTTTTTCCTCAATTCATCACTCACACTGACTTCTTAACTCAGTTTGACCTTCACTGCTCTGGGCATCCACCACCGACTTTGTTTCTTACCCTCAGGGCAAGATCTGGTCACTGGCCGAGCCACCGATCCTGCTTGTCACCAAAACCTTCTCGGGCCTGTTCTCCCCTTTCCCAGCCCTGTGCTCACTCTGCGCCGGTCAGCCCTTGACCAGAATCCCAGCTGATGGCGTGGAGCCTGCAGATGGTCACTGGCCTCGAGGGCCAGGATGATGCCAGCGGGGAGAGCCAAGCTTCAGCCTACAGACCTCCAGGCAGTGCAGCCCAATGGTTAAGAACCAAATTAATTAATCTCACCAGCTCCCCCATTTGTAAAAGGAGCTGAGTGGGGTTCCACAGCAGTCAGCTCACAGGGAAGTTATCACCAGAACTCCGGTCCTTGGCCATGCCACCACAGACCTGACATTCTCCTTGGCCCTGGAAAACAAAAGCAGCTGCAGACAAGCAGCTGTGACCCTGCCTGGCACAGCGCCCTGTACTCGGCGGGCACCCTCCACGTATTCCGGAACTCAGTGAGCGGGACCTGTTTATGGCTTTCAGTTGTCATGAACGTGCTCCTAGTGCAGCTGTGCAGCGCCTGCTCACGGTCCCCAGCAGCTGTTTTCACTTCCTTATAACAGAACCACTGGGTTTGCTAAGCACATGGCCACGGAGAATAAGGTCTACACTTCCCAGATGCCTTTGCAGTTAAGTGTGACCATGTGACCAAGTTCTGGCCAAGAGGATATAAGAAGGACTGTTTTCAACTACAGGGAAGGATTTTTATTTTATTTACTTTTTTAAAAATGTTTTTGTCTGGCCAATGTGGCTCAGTGGTTGAGCATCGACCCATGCACCAAGAGGTTGCCGATTCGATTCCCTGTCAGGACACGTGCCCAGGTTGTGGGCCCGATCCCCAGTAGGGGGCATGCAGGAGGCGGCCAATTGATGTTCTCTCTCCTCAATGTTTCTATCTCTCTCTCCCTCTCACTACCTCTCTCTCTAAAAAATCAATAAAGGAAAATAAAAAAAATTTTTTTAAAATATGTTTTTATTGATTTTTTAGAGAGAGAGGAAGAGAGAGAAAGATAGAAACATTGATGTGAAAGAGAAACATCTATCGGCTGCCTCCTGCAGGCCCCCCATGGGGATCGAGCCCACATCCCGGGCATGTGCCCTGACCAGGAATTGAACCGGCGACGTCTCAGTCCATGGGACGACGCTTAGTCCACTGAGCCACACCAGCCAGGCCAGGGAGGGATTTTTGAAGAAAGGGAGGAAGAGTGCCCTGCGCTCTCCCTCCTTCCTGCTGGCCGGAACGGAAGTGTGATGGCTGGAGCTCAAGCAGCTATGTATGTTTAATCATCAGGAAGCCATGTGTTGAGGATGGCAGAGCCATGAGAAAGAGGGGGCCTGGGCTGCATCATCTTATTCATGAGGTAGCACAACAGTCCTGGACTGACCAGCTTCAGACTTTGCTATCTAACCTTATATAATCTACAGTAATTTTCCCTCTTCCTTACTACTTGCTAATTCTATCTGGTCCAGTAGCCCTCCCACCCCCCAATATTATAAAAAGTCACATCTCATCTCTTACGACAAGTTGATGCCTGGGTAGGGTTGGCCTGGGAAAATCCAGGGTCCTCATGTGACCGCTGCTCCCACATGTGCCTGTGAGAACTGGGTGCTGGAGGGTGCTGGACTATCCTGGACAGGCAGGGACCCTCAGTGGCCCCTAACTGAGCCCTGTAATGCCTACTCCAGTAACGGCCAGGGCACCAGCTCCCTAGGCATCTCCCTCTGACTTGGGTGTCCCTGGACCCACAGACGGGGCCTGTTCCTGTGAGTGAGACCGAGACCAGGAGCAGGACCCCAGCTCCCAAGACATCAGGACTCCTCAGGTTCCTCTGCCCTCACTCAGGCTCCTCATCTTCCCTCCTGGTCCTGACACCCCTGGGAAGATCCTTCTATGGATACACAGCTGGGTGGGGTTGAGTTCAACAGATCTGAGTCCAAGACCTAAGCTCTGCTACTTACTAGCTGAGTGACTTCATTTTTTTTTTAAGCAATCATCGTGCCTCGGATAAGCCTCATTGGCTACGACACTGCCACTGCACACAGCCGGCTTCACCTTTTTGTGTGGTTTCACCTCCTGACCTCGGCTTCCTCACTATAATGTGGGGTGCAGAGCTGTGCTCACCCCGCTAACCATACAGTGCTAGCAGGGAGCAGGAACTGAGGCACAGCAGCCACTGTTACCATCATGTCCATTATCATAAACAAAGGGGCTGAGCCTTGGGTCCCAGCCAGGATGGTGACCTGGATGTCTGGTTAGCAGCCAACCAAGCTTCTTCGGGGGGCCTCAGGGAACAGGCTGTTTTAGGCTCTGGCCATGGAACCACTGCTCTCCCTGGGCCTTGTACAAAGGGCTGCTCTGGTACCCGCTGGGGCAGGAAACGATGTTTCAACGCCCAGGTCAAGGCTGCTGGTCCTCCTCGGGGCTCCTCTCATCCCCAGGAGCTGCCTTCCTGTTGTAGAAATGAGCTCAATTGCCCCACCCACCACTCTGGGAGCCGGCACCCCGAGCCTACATGACCTGCACTGGGCCGGCACACACTGGTCCTTGACTCACCCACAGTGGACAGGGTGACCTATGGCCACCTTGTGTCATGCACCTGCTTCTGTTCAGGGATCTGCCCAGCCCCTGCTCTCAGGCCATGTACCCGGGGTTGGGAATCCACCGCCAAGTCGCCAGGGGTGTCACAGGGCCCCGGTCTAAGCAGAACACTGAGTTCGGGCACCAGCCACAGTGGCTGGCTCAGAGGTGGGCATGCGACTGAAGTCAAACCAATCTGGTCCAATCGCAGGCAAGCCTGGAGCTCTGGCTTGAGGGACCAGACGAGACTCATCCTTTCCTGAGGACTTGACTCGGAGACAGGGATGACGCCACCAGAGAACAAGCTGATGTTTGGAGAGCAGAACAAGACAGAAACCCACAACGCAGTGTACAGGTGATGTGGAACAGTGCACCTGAACCTGTATCATCTGGTTAACCAGCATCACCTCGATTCAGTAAAAAGGGAAAAGAAGAACACGAGAAACAGGAAAATGAACAGTGATGACGTCACTTGAGACCCGGAATCCAAACGTGCCCAGAGCCAAAGCAGCTGCCTGGACCTTCTGCACGTGATACAAGAAGCCCTTGCCTGTGGGGCAGGGGACAACTGACTGCCAACACACTGGCTTTCTTGTCACCCGCAACATGAAAGTCCAAAACCCAGCCAGAACTAGGGCCACTGCATATTATTTTAAATATAACACTTTAATTAGAGCTCATGGTTAAAAATAACACCCCTGTCCTACTACAGCCACTGGGCATGACCATGCAGGCTGGGTGGGTACTGCTTGACTCTGGGGAACGAACTGTGCCATGATACATGGGCAGCCCTGTCCCCCAAACGCAGAGGCGACCACTTCCAATTATTCCAGATGTTGCGTCTCTAAATAATATGCATGTTCTGCTACTTCTTAATTATTCTAGTTTGGTCCTTATCTACTGATTTCTTGGTGTGGTAGATGAGACTTGTTTCACTTCCCTCCTGCACTGCGCCCCCCACTGGTGGGTCTTCTCCCGGTTCCTTTAGACACCATGCCAAGAACTCTCTTATTCCACCAGCCAGAGGGAGCTATGGTTTCTCAGCTTAGTGTGAGTTCATCTCACTGCGAGAACTCTCTCGTTTTTGTCTGCAAATGACAAGAAAGCAGAAGAGACCTTTGCTCCCATCGACCTCAAAATGTGTCATTTTCCCTGAAATAAGACAGATATGCAACACATGTGAACAGCTGCTGCACCCAGGTGCCACGCCTGGACAGACCTTCTCATCGGCCAGGGACAGGAGCTGCAAGGGTGGAGCAGGGGCCGCCCCCTCCAACGGGCACGCTGGCGACGGAACTGACAGAGCTGGGCTGCCTCTGGCTTGTTCCTGGACAGCCTGAGCTCCAGACTGAGCCTCAGTTTCCTTCAAACTAAAAAAAACTGCCCTTGCCCTGGCCAGTTTGGCTCAGCGGTTAGAGCGTCAGCCTGCGGTCCGGAGAGACCCGGGTTCGGTTCCCGCTAAGGGCACGTACTTTGGTTGCAGTTTGTCCCCGGCCTTGGTTGGTCGTGCGGGTGGCAGCCACTTGATGTGTCCCTTCACGTCGATGTTTCTCTCTCTCTCTCCCTTCCTCTCCCTCCCTCCCTCCCACTCTATCTGTACAAAAAAATGGAAAAAATATCCTCGGGTGAGGATTTAAAAAAAAAAAAAAAAAAAACTGCCTTTGAGGAACACCCCCAGGTGCACTGCAGCTTTACCAACAGCCGAGGTATGGAAAAGCCCGTGTGCACTGAAGGGTGAATGAATAAACAATGGCACATGTACACAATGGACTATTATTCAGTGTTTTTAAAAAAGGAAATCCTGTTACTTGCACCAACATAGATAAACCTGGAAGACATTCTCAAATGAAATAAGCCAGACACAAAAACACAAATACTGCATGATCTCACGTATAGGTCGAATCTAAAAAGCCAAACTCACAGAAACAAAGTAGAACTGGACTGCCTGGGGCTCAGGGTGGGGACGCGGAGAAGCTGGTCGAACAGCACGGTTGCAGCTCTGCAGGATGAGTCTGGGAGACCTGGTGGTCAGCGGGCGACTCCAGCTCACAAACAGAACGCATGAAACTTGCTAAGAGTAGATCCTAGGTGCTTCCACCACACACAAGGCACCTCTGTGAGGGTGGGCGTGTCCGCTAGCTCGATGGTGGTGACCGCGTCACAGTGCAGACGCACATCAAATCATCACATTGCACACCTTAAATATATACAATTTTAATTTGTTGGTGATACCTCAATAAAACTGGTGAAAAACAAAAAAACAGAGCCCAGGACAGTGATGGACCCTATGCTGTCACCATGTGGCAGGGTCTGAATCCCTGTCCCTGTGGAAGGCGGGCCTGTCCTACATAGCGGACTCCGAGGGCCGCGGGGCCACTGACTCCCAGCCACCAGCACTGAGCAGGCATCAACAGGCGCCCAACAAATTCGTCCCACTGTGTTTCTGTACCGCAGGCCGACGCTCTAACCGCTGAGCCAAACCAGCCAGGGCTTAAAATTACATCTTTTTTTTAATTTTTATCCTCACCCGAGGACATTTTTCCATTTTTTGTACAGATAGAGTGGGAGGGAGAGAGAGGAAGAGAGAGAGAGGGAAACATCGATGTGAAAGGGACACATCGAGTGGCCGCCACTGTGTTTCATGTGCTTCCTAGGGTGGGGAGTGAGACTGACAGCATGCAGTGCTGGGGCTCCCGGATCAAGCCCAAGCTGGGAGCTCAAGCCAGTGTCTCACTAATTAATATCTGCGCCCTTGCCGTGGTGGGAGCTCACACCAACGCTGATGGAAGCTGCTGTGAGAGTGCAGTGTCTGTCGGAACAAGGACTGATTTACAGGGTCCACACCCACCTGCCCCTCCCTGCCACGCAGGCTCCCCCACGTGCCCCAACCAGGAACCAGTCGCCTTTCAGAGCCAGGGGCACCTCCCTGCCCTTGCACCCAAAGGGCCCTCTTCCTAGAGTACCTGTCTCACCCTGGGGCAATTTTGTCAACAAGGGGACACTGGGCCAAGTCTGGGGACATTTGTGGTTGTCACAACTCTGGGAGTGCAAGTGGCATCCAGTGGGTAGAGACCAGGGCTGCTGCTCAACATCCACCAGGGCACAGGACGCCCACAGCAGTTACTAGCCGAACTGTCAATAACGCAAGGCTGAGAAACCAGCTCTGGAAGAATCCTGGTGGAATTCCAAGAAGCCTTCCCCCACCCCCTCTCCTTCCTCCGCTAAACACAGCTCCCCGCACACCAGGACAGGGAGGGGCGCTTACCTACTGCCGAACAAGCAACTCACAGCTGAACCACAGCTGAACCCAGGAGCCCAGTCAGTTGCAACTGCTAAGGCTCATTAAACATCACCACCACACCCGGGCCTGTGCACACAACACCGTTACAGTGCAAAGAGTCTACTGTGGTTTTAAAAATCAGAAAAACACATTTTAGAATACAAAGCACAGATTATTGGCATAACTTCGATGAACAAAATGCACACGAGGGCGTGAACATTAATTACTAATGACTCGCTGGGCACCCTTCTCGTGTAGCCAGGACACTGTGTACTCCAGGAACCAGGACACAGCTTGTCTCCCTTCTCAGAGGGAGCTCTGTTTACAGGGCCTCGGTGGCCAGAGCACGAGAGCGCCTGCAACAAAGGGGCCACGTCTCGCTCCTCTCTGCCTCCCAGCCCAGAGCACCAGGCCTGGCACACACGAGGTTCTCCGTAAACGCGTGCTGCGTGAACGAACAAGTGACTGGAGGAAATGGACCGTTTCTGCTGATATGCTGGGCACTGCAGGCCTGGAGGAGTGGAGGGACTATGGCGCTATAACTACAAGGAGGCTGGCAGTTAGTTAGCCTGAGAGCATGGCTGAGATCTGAGTGGAAAAGTCTGGACCATGGGGAGGCCCTCAAAAAGCACCCTAGCCCTGGCTGGTTTGGCTCAGCGGTTACAGCGTCAGCCTGCGGTCCAGAGACCCGGGTTCGGTTCCCGCTAAGGGCATGTACCTTGGCTGAAGTTTGTCCCCGGCCCTGGTTGGGTCATGCGAGTGGCAGCCACTCGATGTATCCCTTTCACGGTGATGTTTCTCTCTCTCTCTCTCCCTCCCACTCTATCTGAATAAAAAATGGAAAAATGTCCTCAGGTGAGGATTTAAAAAAAGCACCCTAGACCAGGATCCGGCTTGACAAGGCTTTGGGGAGAAACAGATCTGGGTTCAGGTCCTGACTTGCTATTACTAGCTGAGTGACACGGGGCAGATTACTTAACTTCACTGAACCTCAGCTTCCTGTAAAACTCACTTGATCAAAAGAGTGGCGTAGAGGGAGCAAGGTGAAGAACCAAGAGAAGTGGCTGGGGTTAGAGAAGTCCATGGCAGCACACACAGCTAGCTCTCCACCACCAAGCTGAGCGCGCTTGCCCAGCCAGGGACTACATTTCCCAAGCACCTTTGGTGTGTAGGTAGGGCCATGTGACTGCACTGGGACCAATGGGAAGTGGGCAGAAGTAACTGCTTCCAAAGGCCACCCCAACAGCCCATTTTCCCCACCTTGGTCATGGCCTCTGTGATCCTGCCCTGAGACAGCCTGAAACAGACTCACAGCGTTTCAGTATCCCCTACAGAGCACCTACTTTGTGGCTCCCCTCAGCTCCCTGGAGGACAGGGGTTCCCCCAACCCCGGGCTTCACTCACAATTTGCCTCTGGCACACCTCCCAGCCTGCCCTCCCCACCCTCCCTCTGGCCTCAGCTCAAGGTCCCCTCTCCAGGAACTCCCACAGACTCCCGGTGACAGGCACTATTAGCTTTATCCTACAGAGGAGGAAATGCAGGAACAAAGTTAAGCCTCACTTACACCCCTAGACCTTGCAAAGAGCTGCCTGGACCCCATTCTCTTCAGCAGATAGCCATAAACCACCAGGGGAGGTGGGAGCGGCTCTGTCCAGTCACTCAGAGGCTCAGGCTCCTTCAGGCTCGTGGCTCTGCCCTCCTCTAGGTAAATGAGGACAGAGAGGCAGGTTTCCGGGTCCAGGCTTGAGAAGGGCACACACTAATTCTGCTCACATTCCATCAGCCAAACTCAGTCATAGTGGCCCCTCCAAACTGTAAGGGAGACAGGAATTCTTCCGCCTGGTACCCCAGGAAGAAAACATGAGTACTGGCAACCAACACTGTTTCTGCCAGATAATACACTGACAATGTTTAAAAATCGAGTCAGTAACATATCCTTAATCAGCCAAAAAGTACTGTCTGCCACACACAGTGCACAAGAAAAAAGTGATAAATTATACAGATGGCACACACTGATTACTGTTGGGAGAAAGCCCGAAAGGCTGAAATTCAGGATCACAGTCACAAGAGCTTTATTGGAGAAACTTACACACACAGACTTACGCACACAGGCCAAGCAGCAGGTAGGTAAGTTTCTCCCATTAAAGCTCTTATGGCCTGGTGAGTGTGGCTCAGCTGGCTGGAGCCTGGTCCTGTGCACCGGAGGGTTGTGAGAGGCAACCCAGCTATGTATCTCTCTCCCACTGATGTTGCACTCTCTCTCTCCCTTCCTCCCTAAAATCAATTTTTAAAAATCTCTTATGAATTTGAATAAGGCTGTCAGTTCTTCAAATTGATCCTAAATTTAGACTTTGGGGCTTCCCCCAACAATTACACATACATTGAGACCATTTCAACAGATCAGCAGGCCCTGACTTCCTGCCTTCCCCATCCCAGCAGAGGAGAAGAACTTGGGCCCCAGCCTACCACCCACTTTGAGAAGGGAACTGAGAGAAATGGGAATGGCAATCCCAACCGTGTCACACCTGAATTCACGTCCTCAAGAAGTTTCACTGTATGCTGAATTCATACATGAACACAAGAAGGAATGTAAGCTGCTGCGGAGGCTGGAGAGAAGGCCACCCGCAATACCTCCCTCGCTGAATCCTACCTTCTTCCACTAGCAGGCACCCTTTCCAGCTCAGCTAATACATCAGCCCTTCCAGGGAGCCTTCTCCCCTAACCCTGCCTCGCCGCACACACTACATACACCCCAGGCTTATCAGCTTTCACCTGCTTGGTCTGCATGCCCCCTTTACTAATTAGAGTCTGCTGTTAGACCACCTGGGCCTCGGTTTCTTCCTCCCTAATATCAGAGGGGTGCACTATGTTACTCCATTTCCTGGTTGAGTGGCCCCAAGGCAAGCAGTGCCAAGGCCTAGGCCCCATAAGTCAGGCTCCTTTCCCATGCAAGCTCAGCTGTCACACTACGGGCTCAGACAGAATTAGGCCAGGACTTATCCCTGGGGCCCCGTCCCCGCGCCGCCCCCTGCACATTCACGCTCTGCCCTTTGGCGCACAAGTCAACCGAGCCAAAAACGCTGCAAAGGCGCGTCCACACTGTACTCGAGGTTCCTGGAATTCTGGCCTCTGGTCCAGGGCTGGGGTGGGGTATGCGGCTCCGGGCCCTGCAGGGATAGGACGGCAGCGCGGTCCCCACCCTCTGCGGGCCCTGCGGCGCCCCTGGCGGAGGCCCCAAGCTGCCTCTTCCAGCCCTTCGCGCGCCAAGTGTTTTCCCAATAGACTCCGCCATTAACCTGCGCAACTACCCCATTTTACAGAAGCCAACACGGAGCCCGAGAGTTTAACCAGAGGAGAATCGCCCCAAAACTCTCCTTCTGCGCTGCCTTGGGTCCCACTGCAAGCCCAGGCCCAGCGTGCTCCGGGCGCCGGCGCCCCGGGGCGCTCAGTCCTGCACCGCCCGCGCCCACGCCCAGCAGCCCGAGCAACTGCGGCCGCACCCACCTCCCTCGGGCGGACAGGAATGGCGGCCGGTGCTCACGGCCGCGAGGATCCAGAGGAGGTGGCAGAGACTTGCAGCCCGGTGCTCCAGGGTGCAGGGCGGGCGGGCCCCCCGAGAGTGCCGGGGAGCGGCGAGCGGGGCGCTCCGGAGAGGCAGCGAGGGCCGCTCGAGGCGGATGGAGCGATCGCGGGGCGCGGAGGCCGCCCAAACGATCGTGGGGCGCGAGGGGCGCACGGGGTCGCGAGACGGGTCCGCGGCACTAGGGCGCGTGCAAGGGGCGCGAGCGCAGGCGACCGTCTGTGGAGCCCGGGCAGCTGCAGCACGGGGTGCGCTGGCGTGGGTCCACGAAGAGCCGAGCTCCGGCGGCCGGGGCGGGGCTGCGGTCAGGCGGGTGCTCGGCGCCGCTGTCACGTG